CAACATTTTACTTTTAGCTGTCTTTTTCTACTTTAATCTTTTAGATCACATTTTGTTACTTTTAATTTTTACTAACATTTTAGCTTTTATTATTTTTTTGCTAATTGCCTTTTGATACTTTTAGCTAACCTTTTAATACTTTTAATCAACATTTTACTTTTAGCTGTCTTTTTCTACTTTAATCTTTTAGATAGAATTTTGTTACTTCTAGCTTTTATTAGCTTCTTTAGCTTTTAACCTTCGCTAATTTTGGTTAGCCTTTTATTTTTAGCTAGCCTTTTGATACTTTTAGCTTGCTTTCTGTGGCCTTTTGATTTAGGTAACCTTTTATTTTTAGCTGTCTTTTTCTACTTTAATCTTTTAGATAGCATTTTGTTACTTCTAGCTTTTATTGTCTTTTTTAGCTTTTAATCTTTGCTAATTTTTGTTAGCCTTTTGGTACATTCAGCTTTTATCTAACCCTTTGCTATTTTCTTAGCTAGCGTTCCCTTTGAGTTTTAGTTTCTCGTTTCAGCTTTAACAAGTCAGTTTCAGCTTCTTCTGTAAACTTTAGCTGTTTTTTCAGCATTCAGCTGTTTCTCTGGTCACCTCTGCCCTCGGCACCACAGTCACAGCCGTTTTGCAGAGAAGTCTCAGACGTTGGATTTTCTGCCTCTGGTTCAGCAGAGAAAGCCGTGAAGCCGTCGTCCCTGAAGTAATCATCACAGGTTGCATCTTTGCTCTGCCAAACCACAAAAACAATCTTTAAAATTAAAATTAAAAAAAAAAAAAAAAAAAAAGCTAAATAATTGATTGAATTCTAAAGCCGTACCTCCTCTGAGCAGCCGTAATCCAACCACTCCTGCCTGTGTCGGTCCATGCCATCCGAACACCTGAGACACGACAGGTTCATTATAAACAGGAGGTTAAAAACTCTCAGCTGGACCACGTGGACCTCCGCTCACCTCTGGAGAACGTTGCACCAACTGCAACCAGAGGTTTGGTTGGATGAGAGGCAGAGCTCACAGCTGTCGTGCAGCAGGCAGGCTGAAGGAAGGAAGGAGAGCAGAGATCTGTAGATGTTTTATTGTTTGGACGCTGGTGTCAGTTTAAAACATGAAATAAGTGTTGGGATCATGTTTTCTTACTTGGAAGTGGTGTGAGCTCTACAGCAGAATTATTGGTGATCTTTGTCACGTCGAGCTCAACTCGATGGTATTCATGGATCATCTGCTGAACTGCATTTAAGTTACAGAGAAAAAGAGACCTGAGGTATGGTGCTGTATTAGGGCCAAAATTAAGACTCTTGCGCACCCAGCAGTAGCTACATCCTTGTAACAGAAGGTTTTATCTCTTCCAAAAATGACAGGCCAGCACCAGTAACTGAGTGGCCTTTAAGATTTAGCCTCTCCAATGCTAACACCAGCCTCTCCAATGCTAACACCAGCCTATCCAATGTTAAAGCCAGTCTTTTCACTGCTTATGCCAGCCTCTCTAATGTTAAAGTTAGCTTCTCAAATGCTAACGCCAGTATATTTGTGCTTATGTACAGCAGAAGGAGTAGGAAATCCACTGGGTGACGAAATAAGCATGCTAATCATAAGCCTATCCAATGCTTATGCCAACCTCACTAATGCTAAAACTAGCCTCTCTAATGCTAAATCCAGTCTCTTCAATGCTAAAGCCATTCTATCCAATGCTAACGCCAATGCTAACGCCAGTGTATCCAGTGCTAATGCTAGCCTCTCCAATGCTAACGCCAGCCTATTTTTGCTAATGGACAGCAGAGTGTGTAAGCAGTGGATGAACAGCCTTAGCATGCTAATCATTGGCCTCTCCAATGATAATGCATTTGAGTTGTCTCCTTCTTTCTTCTTCTCCTTCGCTGGCCTCTCTGTTACCAGTGCAAGCCTACCATTAATCAGATCAGTAGCTGGCTTTGAAAAAGATATAGGCTCCTGCTACAAGGACGTAGCCACCTCATGGTGCACAGTAGTCCTAGTTTTGGCCATAATAGCATGCCATATGAAAGAAAAAGATAATCTGTAGGATAATTTAGAATCGTGAATACCTGGCGACTGAGATGAGGATGATCTGACCGTGAAGGCGTCTGACAAACCCACCTTCACGGGTTGATCAGCTGACCCGATCACATCTAATGACAGTGGTATCTGGTGAACAGAAAGCGGAACATGAGCATTTTTTTTCTCTGCAACACAGAGTGACATGATCTGAGAGGTTGGATCCGTCTCACATCTCTGTAGCTGAAAGTTATTCTTCCAGTTTTGTAGAGCGCAGCCTGAAACGTGAAGGCACCCTGTGACTCTTCACCTGGAAGCCTGACTCGCTCCCACTGGACCACGAAAACCTCCCCTAAAACCAACCCAGCAGTTAGAACAGACGTGTGATGGTGAGGCTTTGAAGTGAGGACGACTTTATACCGTTGTCCAGATACTGCACTGTGGACTCTTTGGAGTGGCCCGGGTCAAAGTTGGCCATCAGAGGGGCGATGTACTGTGTGGTGGTCAGCATACGGTGAGTGACATCCCCCGTGAAGATAAACCCTGGAAAAGAAAAGAGAGCGATAAMCTCGTTGTGTCAAACCTGTGCTTGTCTGAACATGTGCAGAAAATGTACCTCCTGTTGCTATGACGATCTGCTTCAGGTAATGTCCGTAAAAYGGAAAGTCAAACGACATGACGACTCTCTGAAAGCACAAAGATATATGGGGTTATAGTTCAGAGGCAGAGAATTTCACTGCAGTTCAAGAGGTCCTCGGTTCAAATCTGGGTCCCCCATTCTTAAAGTGAATCTTTGTCTTTCTGATTCATAACCTTGACAAATAATAAGTAAAAAAAATAGCTTTATATTTAAGAAATTTGGCATGAAACACAAAATTTTATTTTGTCGCTTATTTTCTTAAGTTTGGCTTGGACAAAGCAAACAGGAAGTGACATCAAAGGGAACACTTTAAGAAACCAAATTCTCTTGTCTTTGCTTATTAAAGCAATATTGTTTCACTTTGACTCTTCGTTTATCTCAGATAATGACTGAAAATAATCTAAAGAAGCATCAGATCCTTCTCTACAGTCTARCCAGTAATGCTGTTTACATCCAGACATTCCCCTTTGACATCACTTCCTGTTACTTCACATGGGAAAAATCTCAACACTTTTTAATGTCAGTGGCATGAAATGTTTTTGCAACAAGTTATCGGTGTTTTCTTCCCAAATATTTATTTATATTTATTATAAAATTGGATGTCACAGGCACTTTTAACAGTCTTCTTCATTTAAAAAAAAAGCAGTTCTCATGTAGTCACACATATCAATAAAAATGAGAAAAAATGAAATTATGCTAAAAAGAACTCAAGACTCTAAAAGTTTTCATTGCAACTTGATTTGTTCAGGATCTTTATGTAATTTCCAGAGGTCAAAATACATTTTAATGACACAATGTCTGAATTGCCACCTGTTGGAACATTTCAGTATATTTTGAATTGATAAACTATTATAGGTGGTATAGCTCAGTGGTAGAGCATTTGACTGCAGATCAAGAGGTCCCCAGTTCAAATCTGGGTGCCCCCTGCTCAGTGTCAAGCTTTGAGTATAAAAAAACAAAAAACTCTCAGCATCATCATTTACATATGACAATTCTCATGTAGTCATGTGCATCCATAAAATACAGAATCATGCTGACAAGAACTCATGGCTCAAAAAGTTCACAATACAACTTTGCTTTTGGCCAAGTGCAGTGG